CGTTCCCACTTGTTGAACCCACTTCAGAATTGATTCTTTTCGAAAGAACTGCCAAAAAACTAGTGTCAGGAAAAAGCTGGGTTTTTTGCATTTGCCTTGCTGCATTGCAACCAAGCTCAATAGGATTGGAACCGGTTTCAAGTGGGAACAACGGTCATATAACCCGATCTGCAATTCACTTTAAATCATAATGGAAATGAGGCCTTAGTAGTTTGAGTGTTGGACTTTGACTCTGGAGACCCATGTTCAATTCTCATTCAGTCATGTAAACCCACTGGATGACCTTGGGCAAGTCACATGCTCTCAGCCTCATGGGAAGGCCTCCTCTGAACAAATCTTGCCAAGAAAACCCCATGATAGATTTGCCTTAGGGTCGCCATAAGTCAGAAATAATTTGAAGGCACACCACTCACACACAAACACACACACACACACACACACACACACACGCTTAGATCCTGGTCTAAAGATGACCTAATTGTGTGTCTCTGTTTGTACACCTAAAAGCACTTGTTAGAGATGCACAATTTGCGGTGGTAGTTGGAGGCTCCCACACCAGTGGGGCAGTGAATCTGCTCCAGGATTTGGTCTAAAATTTAAAGGAGTTCTCTCAAGAGTTTCACTTGTTTGGAAAGATAGGGTTCAAGGACCTGGATAGTTCCTTTCAAGTCCTGGAGTGGATTCACAGCCCTACTGACATGGGAGCCATGACGCATCCCAAATTATATGCCCATTCACTTTGCTGGGCTTCCATTTGGGATGTTTTGTGTTGCCACTGTAAGCAGTGAATAAACATACAAAGAGAGCAAGGATAGTATAGATAGGGCCTTTACAGACTGCCAGAAATAATCCAGCTTGAAACCACTTTAACTGCCGTAGCTCAGTGCTAGGGAATCATGGGAACTATAGTTTATTGTGGCACCAGACCTCTCTGGCAGAGAAGGCTCAATGTCCCAGAAAAAAATACAATTCCCATGATTCCCTAGCACTGAGCCAAGACAGTTAAAGTGGACTCAAGCTACATTATTTCTGGCAAGTCTGTAAA